ATAATAGAGATTTAAATTTGATGAATTTTAATCTAATTTAATTTTATAGTTTAAAGAAAATTAAACTTATAACATATTTTGTGGAGAGTCGAGGTTAAATTTAAAATAAAAAATCTGAAATCGAACACAATAAAAAATCCATACCATACTTCTCTTACATATATCTAAAAATAATTATACATATTCAATTATCTTTCTATCGTAATAAAAACATGGACAAATTTTTACCCTAAAATTTAGAACACTATAAGAGTATGTAACATGTGTTGATGTAATAGTATGATATTATACTCTTACAAATGAAAGCAAATTCAAATCTTAAAGATTATACCTCCAAACTATGAACAAGAACCGATAAAATGGAAATAAAGGTTGCCCATTTGAATATCACCCAACAATCTCAAAATCTGGAAGCATCACAAACAAGTGACATTAATCCAAACCATTCATTCCATTACACTATGAAGTAGCAGGTTCTACTATTAGCTGAAGCAAGAAACATTATAATATTATATGATGGTCAAGAAAACTTGGAGCTAAAATTAAACAAAATCCAAACTAGTCTAGTCATGTCATACAAAATCTTTTATACACCTTGAGCTCTTCTCCTACTATGCTGACTAACCTAAGAAGGCCTCAAACTTGTTTCGGGTCTGATAAAAAGGGGATTAGTGTTCATGTGCCGAACTCAGTTTGCTTTCTCAACAGAATGGAGCTTGAACACTGATTCCAAATCAGGAGTAAAGAACTCCCTAACTCCATTATAATGGCATCTAAGTGTAGGCCTTCCTTGGGGCTAAAGGGCACGGTAATTTCTCTGGTATCTTTGCTTCTTTTGAAGTCGGAGTTGTGGACTCCTCTTCCTCTTGTTCATATTCTTCACTTTTTTTTTTTGCGCTGGGAAGCTTTAGTTAATATCAATTAATCTTGCATGTGGAAGCAATTAACACATAAGGATCTTGATAGGGTAATTAAATCAATCAAATCAAGCTAATTACATTTAAAGAAATGAAAACTTACTTAATGATTTCATTATGATAGTTGAATATCCCAAAAGCAAGAGATAATAAATGTTATTCAATCTTAATTTGTATATTCCTCAATTCGCCTTGTGATGATATCAATACTTGTTTGATTCTTGATGAAAGAATCAAAACCCAAAAGAGATAGTGTACTTGTTTTCTTTTTAAGAGAGAAAAATAGAGAGCCTTGAAAAGAAACTTGTGAGTTACATGAGTTTTAAAAAAAAAGCTGATTCCACAATGTTTTTAAATCACAAAATAACCGAAAGACCCCTCTACTTTTCAGTTGCACATAACATCACTCAAACTTATATTTTCACGGTATGAGACGGAGGGATTTACACCCGATAATTGCCTCCCCAATACTACACTAATCATCACCGTGTGTACAACAACAACAATGATCAATTACTTAAGTTAGATGAATCAATATTAGAAATCACAATTTCTAACCTTCTCCCACTTGATTCATATATGACAAATATATAACATATTAACATAATTTGAGCTCACTTAAATAATGTAATATACAAGTCACAACTTCGTAAGAACTAAACCGACTGAATCATGACAGACACGAGCCTAGCAAACGTCCCGATTCCCTTCAATTATTACAAGTCAATCCAATTCAAGCAAACAAAATTTAATAAGATAGACACCCGAAAACATCATATTCGAAAAAAGTCTTAAAATAATATCCAAGATCTATAATCATAACAAAATATGCATAACTGAAATATGATTAATAGATAAGCAAAATCTAAACAAACATTGATATCTAGAGTATCAAACAAACATAAATGTGCAAGACATATATTCATAAATGTATGACTAATCATCCGCTATACAATAACTTCGCGATTACTCCCATTTCACTAACATGGCCAATAAATGTTTTAGGAGCTAGTCCTTTAGTCAACGAACCTGCAATCATATCATTGGTGCCAATGTGCACTATTTGAACTCTTTGATTTTGCACCTCTTCTTTGACAGATATATACTTTAAATCTATATGTTTGGCACTCTTGGAGTATCTATCTTTCTTAGAGAAGAATACAAGTGTCGTATTATCACAATAAATCCTCATCGGTTTAGCGATGGTACCAACGATGTTTGTGCAGCCACAATTATTGAGTTGTAGCTTCAAAGCATGCTATAAATTCAGCCTCCATAGTGGAAGTAGCAATGACAGACTACTTACCACTCTTCTATGAGACAACTGTATCAGCTAGAAGGAACACATAGCCGAATGTGGACTTCTAGGTATCCGAATATCCGACATAGTCTGAGACTGAGTAACCAACAACCTCAAGGTTACTATTTCTTCTATATGTCAGCATGTGATCCTTAGTGCCTTGCAAGTACCTTAAAACTTTCTTTGCAGCTCTCTAATGAACCAGTCCATGATTTGATTGATAACGACATACCGACCACAAAGCTTATATCCGACCTAGTACAGGTCTGAGCATACATCAAACTCCCGACTAAAGAAGCATAAGGGATATTATCCATTTCTTTGCACTTCATGCCATTCTTAGGACATTGGGACATACTGAAATTGTCTCATTTATGGATGTGAACTAGACTAGGTGTACATGATTCCATATTAAATTTTCTAGAACTTTGTTGATGTAAGCCTTTTGAGACAATCCCAAAATTCCTTGTAATTTTTCCTGAAATATTTATATTCTGATCACATAGGAAGCCTCACTCATATCCTTCATCTTAAAGTTTCTAGAAAGTAGCCCTTAACAACAAGCAATAACCCACGATCACTAGCGACAAGAATAATATCATCTACATACAACACAATGATTACAAACTTGCTTCCCACAACCATCATATAGATACATCAGTCAACGGTCATTTCTACAAAGCTTTATGACAATACAATATCATTAAACTTCAAGTATCATTGTTGGGAAACTTGTTTTAATCCATAGATTGATTTCTTCAATCTACATACCAGATTTCTTTCACTTATGGTCTCAAAACCTTGAGATTGATCCATATATACATATTCTTCCAAATCTCCATTGAGAAAGGTTGTTTTAATATCCATTTGGTGAAGCTCAAGATCAAAATGAACCATCAAAGCCATTACAATCCTTAAAGAGTCCTTTCTAGAAACCAGAGGGAAAGCCTCTTTATAGTTAATGACATCCTTTTGAGTGTAACCTTTGGCGCAGGCCATTTAGCTCATTAATGATCCTTCGGCTTCTTCCTCGCCAAAAGCTTTGGTTTGAATTCAAACGGATTTCAAAAAAATAATCTAGTTAAACTTTTCGATTTTCAGTGGCAACTTTTACAAGTCTCCTTATGCAATCCCCTGTTAGGGACATACATTTCTAATCCATGTATTGTACGACTACATAATATTAACCTTTCTTTTATGATCGAAAAGAACATACTCGTTACTCGGTTATGCACGTATGATTGATTGATTTTAAATGCGATTATGGGTACACCTGACAAACTACGTAAAGCTTGAGAGATGGGTGCTATAGACGTTTTACTAAAAAAAAAGTTTTATTGTAATACGGATTCTTAGAAGCACAATCATTTGGGGACCTTACGTTCAATAAAAATGATACAAAGGTCATGAAACATTCAAGTACAGCAGAAAAAACACTGTCGCGTATCTATTTTGCTTACTTTTTTTTTCTTCTAGTAGCCGTGTTCGATTCTCATTCAACCCATGGATATGAGGATATGAAACCCCAAATATTTTCGAAATACATAGAAAATCTTTTAAACACCCGACCATAATAGCTGAATTGGACGAATACCCACATCGGACAGACATGATCCCATACTTGCATCCGAGTCCAAATAACACAGTTTGAAATAACCAAGGAGAGAAAACCAGTGGCTAAACAAGTAATTGAAGAGAGGAAACTGAACATTAAATAAGGAGGAACTACATGCTTTGGTAGAACATACCTACATTTCAAGGACAATGAATAGAATAAAGGAGAATGAACACAGTCACACATACTGTAAGTCTGTAACCAATGTCATCATGACGCATAGAAATCTCATTACTATCAGGTGTTGGATCAAAAGCCAAGCAATCAATTGCAAGATGAAGAACCAGTAAATCTTACAAAAAAAATACGAATCAAAACCAACATCACCAAGGGGAATCAAGAATCCAAGATGAACTCCAGACTCAGTAATTAAAGAATCAATTACATGTTCTCCTCATCATTCTATTTTTTTAAGCTTGCTCATGCTGTGTGGAATAAATATACACCATAGGCTTATCATCAGATACTTTTATAGACAAATTGCAGTCCCAAAATTTTCTGAGTAAGAATCGCAGAAAAAATTCTGCAAGCTGCAGTAAGAAACCTAATTCTATAAATATTCAAACCCAGCCATGAAGAAAAATATGTACCCAAGGATTTTGCAATTGGGGTTTGAAATTGAACCATACAATCTTCTAGTTCTTGCCTGCAATTGCCATTGAAAAATCCATAACGATCCTTATGTTTGAGACCAAATAACCAGAATCGGTACTCTTTAACTCTATTTTTCACCTCACAATTTAATGAAAAACTCACTTGACTCAAAATACCAATTTTTCCGGCTTGATTCGAGAAACTCGACTCATATTAACTTCAAGTTGTAATTTCACAAATTCGACTCGACTTGAAAAAATTTTAAGATCAAATCAAGTTGTAAAATACAACTCAAATATCTCAAATTTTTTAATAATTAGTCTATTGGTTTTGAATTTTGAGTCAAGTCCTTCTCTGAATGAGATATGTATATCACATGTCAAAAAATATGAATGAATATATATGCATTGTATATGTTATAAGAAATCACTAGTCAACTCGAATAACGAATGTTTTGACTCAACTCGATCAAATGATTACACCTAGCCTTAATCTCAAATTAACCAATTCAATCAACCAACAGCTAAACAATACCTCAGTATATAAAAAATTAAATTCAAAAATTAAATGGGAATTGATCATGCAAAAAATTGAAAGTTCCTCATTCCAAACACCTTCAGACATAAAAGTACATATCGAACTTAATAAATTCCAGTACCCTTATAACATTACTAACATTGTTCCCACAAAAAATACATACTTGAAATCAAGAACCCATCAAAATAGATGAACACTCGCCACTTAAAACCTCCTCCCGGGTCCACCACCGCGGCCGAACCCGATTTGAGGAACAACAGCAACCGGGTCAACCTTAACAAGCCCAGGGATATCAGCCATCCCAAGAACCGAAAGCATATCGAGCGTTTCCTTATCGACTTCGATTTGGTCGACTTTGATAGCGGACTCATCGGGGACGAAATCCATGCGACGCTCACGCTCTTCCTCTTGGAGCTTAAGGGAAATGCCGCGAACGGGACCCTTCTGGATCCGTTTCATCAAATGGGTGGAGAAGCCCGCGATCTTGTTGCGGAGCCTCTTGGATGGGATGATGGCGACTTCTTCGATGATCTTCTTGTTGGTGTGGAAATCGAGGGTCATGCGAGAGTAGTACCGCTCGATCACCTGACGGGAAGATTTCTTCACTGTTTTGGTACGGACGCGGCCCATTGTTTGGATATGTTGACGGCTCTACTTAGTGGCTGGCTGGAGTTCAGTGGGAGTTGGAAGAGAAAATGAGGAGGCTAGGGTTTTCTGAATGTGAAACTAGGGTTTATATAAACATTGTTGGGCCTTTTTCAGTTGTCGTGTAAGTGCTTACGGGCTTAACTTTAAACCATCCAAGTATTAATTTTTTTTTGTCTTCCAGTTTCAAGACTTTATCTTTACACTAGATAGACCCAGTTCGCATTAGTTTTGGTGGATGAATCTTCAAATAAAGATTTTCTACGTATCACTTGAGACATTACTTAAACGATATCAAATTATTTATCACTTGAATCAACCCCGTTTAATAAATCATCCAAGTATTTTTCATCAGAGGCATACTTTATTTTTTTAAATACATATATTAAAAAAATATTTAGGAATACAAATCATTTCCTACTATTTTGTTCTAAATAATCCACACATAATTTTTTAAAAAAAATAAATATATTAAAAATTATTCTAAGATAGAAATTATTTGCTACAGTATGAATGGAACTAATCATATGAAAATGACAAGTTTTATAAATATAATAAATAATTAGCATTCGTCACGAAAGACATGGCTTCCATATTATAATAATTCTCAAACACATACCTTTTTAAGGTTAAACTACACGGGAGACCAATAAATTATAGTCAAAAATCAATTTGACCACTGACGTTTCAATTGAATTAATCAGACCACCCAACTTTTTAAATATTTCAATCAAAGCATCAGCTGTTAATTTTTAACAGAAGTGGTGACATGGCCGTTAAAACATTTTGGTATAATTCACAATTGATCACTATAATTTATATATTCTTTTAATTTGATCCTGATTTTAATAAATTAAAATAATGTTAACCATCGAATCAGGAGGTGTCACGTGTCATTGGTGACATATGTCATGACACGTGTCTTTATTCAATTGAATGACTAAATTTATTTTAATTTATTTTTAATTTAATATATTTATTTTTCACCAATCAGAGGGTGACACGTCTCTGGTTGAAAGAAAATAAATCCGCACAAAAAGGTGGGGGAGGGAAATTGAACCGAGGTTGTTTGGTTGTAACATTAAAAATCAAACCATTGAGATAAGTCAACTATTTAATATACTTAGGATAGCAAATAATATATATATATATATATATATATATATATATATATATTGTACCTTAATATATAAATGTTTTACTCAAAATTAAAGAATATTTTATATATCTTAAATTTTAAAATTAAATTTTTTTAACTTATTAAATATATTTTTCTTAACTTATTAAATATATTTAGTTTTATTTTAATATAAAAATATATATATTTTATCTTTATCATCACTTAAATATATATATTTTAAAATATTTTAACTTAAATTATATATTTTATCTTTATCATCAATTAAAATTTATATGAAAAAATACCTTAACTTAAAATATATTTAAATATTTTATTATTAATTTAATATAAAAATAAATATTTTATTATTATCTTAACTTTTAAAATTTCTTGAATTAAATTATCTTTTATTTTTTAAATTAAAATACATTTTGAGGTTAAGATATTTTAATATATTTTTAAAAATTTAGATAATGATAAAATATATTTTTATTTTAAAATAAAAATAAAAATAAAATATATTTTTAAGTGTAGATAAGAATAAAATATTTAAATATATTTTAAGTTAAAATATTTTACAAAATATATTTTTAAGTGATGATAAAGAAAAATATATATTTTTACATTAAAATAAAAATAAATATATTTAATAAGTTAAGAAAAAAATAAAATATATTTAATAAGTTAAAACAAAAACAAAATATAATTTTAAAATTTAAGATATATAAAATATTCTTTAATTTTGAGTAAAGCATTTATATATTAAGGTACAATATATATATATTATTTGTTGTCCAAAACATATTAAATAGTGACCTTAGCTCTATGGTTTGATTTCTAATACATCATCCAAGTAACCTAGGTTCAATTCCTCTAACCCACTTTTTGTGCGGATTTATTTTTTTTTCAATAAGAGAGTGACACGTGTCATCCAATCGAATAAAGATACATGTCATGATAAGTGTCACCAATGACACATGGCACCTCTTGATTCGATGGTTAATGTATTTAATTTATTAAAATTATGATCAAATTGAAAGAATATATAAGTTATAGAGATCAATTGTGAATTATACCAAAATTTTTTAATGGCCACGTCACCACCTGTGTTTAAAATTAATGGCCGGTGGCTTGATTGAAACATTTAAATAGTTGGGTGGTCTGATTGATTCAATTGAAACTTCGGTGGTCAAATCATAGTTTAGTGGTCTCCCGTGTAGTTTACCCCTTTTTTAAAAAGAAATACGCTTAAATTATTTCCAAATTTTACTATTTTTTCTTTTTATTTAAAAGAAAAAATTCCAAAAATAATTCTATACAATACTTTAATTATTTATAATACGGTAAATTCTAAATCGGAGTTGACAATTCAATTGAAAGCCTTCGTTTCTCATTACCTACAGTATATTTCAACCAAATTAAAATTCAATTGATACTTTAAAAATATTTTCGGTAAACTATATTATTAATCTTTGAACTTTAGGTGTTATCTTGTTCTAGTCATCAAATTATATATATATAAAAAAAAGTAATTTTACCTTTAAACTTTTAAAATTGACTTTTTGTCACTAAACAACTAATTTGACCTTTAAAAATATTTTAGGTAAACTATATTATTAATCAGTATTTTCTAACATTTTAAAATTAATTTTAAAGAAAATACTGATAATTTATTTTTATATTAAAAAAATCATTTTAAAACCTATTTATTAGAATGAGCAAAACTCAATTCGACTAAAAAATCGATCTTTTCGATTCGATTCAACTAAAAAAATCACTCGAACTAGCTTCAAGTTGTAATTTCATAAACTCGACTCGGCTTGAAAAAAAAAATTAAATTTGAGTTGAGTTATAAAATAGAACTTGAATAACTGGAATAGTAACTCCAATAACTCAAAATTTTTAATAATTAATGAATTGGTTTTAAGTTTGAGTCAAGTTCTTCAACTCTATGTGACATATGTATATCAAATACGAAAAACTATGAATAAATATATATGTGTTGTATATTGATATAGAAAACAATTTAAATTAGAATTAAATAATATCATAATATTATAGATATCTATAGTTAAATTTAAACATAAAATCGAATAACTTGACTTAACTCAAAAAAAAAATTAAATCAATTTTGAGTTAAAAAATAAGACTCGTTAACTTGAATAACTCAAAAGTATTTTACTCGACTTGATCAAATGCTTACCCTTATCTAAAACCAAATATATTTTCTTTAATATTTTTCATTTAAAAAATTGTTAAGGACTTTAGGCCCATATCGTGTTGTTTGGTAGTTTATAAGACTATAACCAAAGTCTTGGTGAATCGATTATCTTCTGTTTCTACTGGGATGATCTCTCTTAATCAAACGCCATTTGTGAAGGAGCGTAGCATAGTGGATAATACGTTGCTTTCTCAGGATATTGTGAAGGGGTATGCTAGGAAGAATATCTCTCCTAGATGTGCTTTGAAGATCGGCCTCCAAAAGGCTTTTGACTCGCTGTCTTGGGGCATGTTTTTAATGGAAGTCTGGTGGGGGTTTTTAAGGGAGAACGTGGCATTAGACAGGGGATCCACTCTCCCCTTATATCTTTGTGCCAGTTATGAATGCCTTGTCCTGTACGCTTGATGTAGCTACTGCAAAGGGGATCTTTAGCTATGCAAGAAGATTGACCTTACGCACCTTTGTGTTTGTAGATGATTTGCTTATCTTCTACAAGGGGAATGTTAACTTTATTGTTGGAGTGCAGTGTGTTTTGGAGCAATTTTATTCTCTGTCTTGGTTGCGTTTAAATGCTGCCAAGTGCGAGGTTTTTTTAGCTGGAGTCACTAAGGGTCAACGTGTTGTGATCAAGGCTACTACTGATTTCCAGTTGGGTAGTTTACTTGTGAGGCATCTTGGTGTACTTTGGTCACTAGGAAGCTCACGGAGAAGGACTGCATTGGGCTCATTGCTAAGATTCATGGTAAGTCGAATTTATGGGCTAATAGACACCTTAGTTTTGCTAGAAGATTGCAACTTTACCAGGCTGTGTTATTTGACAATTAATTCTACCTCAAGCTATAATAGGGAGGATTTAGCAGTTGTGCTCTTTGTTTTTCTGGAAGGCAGCTGATATTGTTGCAAGGGAGTCAGAGTTAGCTGGAGTCAAATCTGTTTTTTAAAATATGAGGGAGGACTAGTTGTGAAGGATATTGGTGGTTGGAATAGGACTTGTATATTGCAGCTGATACGAAATATACCGGCTGATGAGGACTCTTTATGGGTGGCATGGATCAGAGCTTTTGTTCTGAAGGGTGAGACCTTCTGGCAGGTTGGAGTACGCTGGTCCTTTAAGAAGATGTTGAAACCAAGGTCGGTGGCCTTCCAGATGTTTGGTGTCAATGGTGCTGGTAATTTTAAGGTCTGTTGTATTTGGAACGAGTTTCGAGTAGAACAGCCGCCTAGGGTCCCTTGGCATAAACTCGTTTGGTTTGGGGGCATATTCCAAAATATAATGAGATTGAGGCAAGGGATCACTTGTTTTTTACTGTGCATTTGCTAAGCAGCTATAGGGTGCATTCTGGATTTATGTGGCCTTCCTCGTAATATTTGGAATTGGAAGAATGAGCTTGCTTGGTCTCATGGGCATTTAAAGGGGAGATCTCTTCTTGTTACGATTTTCAAGTTTGTTTGGGGATGTCATATCTATCACACGTGGGAAGACAAGAACCGAAGATGTTTAATGGAAGGGTTCGATCGGTTGAAGTGGTGATGAATGATATTAAAGAACTAATCCAAGTTAGACTCAAAGGGGGGAGCATTAAAAGAGTTGACGCTGTTAATGTTTGGCTTTGTTCTAGGTGGGGTATTTCTTAGTTGATTTTTTTTTTATTGTTGTAGGGATGTGTTGTGTGATGTGGTGTGGTGTTAATCTTTGGGGTAATTCAAGAAATTTATCCAAAAAATTGACCTTAAATATTCTAATATCATTTAGATTCTATTTCCATTTTTTTAATATAAATCCAGGGTGATACAATATAATTATATGTTTAATGATAACTTTCAACCATTTGACAACTAATATTCATATTCATGCAGACACAATGTTTGAACTTGGAATCTCAAAGGATTTAATTATTGAGATTGTCTGATTCATGCATTTTAGTTGCTTTTAATTTCAGTTAATCCTCTTTTAATAAATGATTATTATTATTATTATTATTTTTAAATAATTTAAGGTGATTATAAATTAATAAATGTTTATAAATATTTTTTAATCATTAGTAATATATATACAACTTTATACGTATCTATTTAAATTTAAGATTTTTTAAGAAAAAAAATAATACTCCTCTTAATTGAACCTACCTGATGGGTTGGTAAATATTTATTTCTTTGCAAGCAAACACCGAATAGAGAAAATGGTGGAAGATTGTCTTTTTATGAACAATGCATTTACTTCTGCAAAAAGCTCAGCAAGACTGTCATGAGGTGGAAGACGGAAGAATGATAATGGCTGTATTTATGTTGGCCGTCGATTAAAAAAAAAACTATTTTCAGAAGGTAAATTACACGTTTAGTACTTAAAATTTTACTTTTGGTACGTTTTAGTATCTGAATTTTCAAATTTTACAAAATCATACTTAACGTTTAATTTTTGTTTCATTTTAATACTCTACCGTTAAAATTTTAACGACAGAGCTGATGTGACATGTTGGTTATTTTTTTAATATTTTTTATTCTTTCATATCAACAACCAAATATTATTTTTAATTATTTTGATTCGATCAATAGAGTGGTGACACATGTCACCACACAATTGAAATAAAATCAACACAACAATTGCTTGGCGTGGGTTCTCCTAATTCAAGGGTGAGGCTTGGCCACTGGGCTAAACAACGTTGTTGGTGGGAAATGATCACGTGAGATAGTTTAATATATGGTAAAAAAAAAGCGTTATCGGTTTTGTTATTAATTTTTAACAAATCGGTAAAATATTAATGGAAATATTATTATTTTTACCGATTTTGTTATTATTGGACGCTTTACTGGGTTTGGTAATATATCTTGTAGAAAAAAAAATAATGTTTTAGGTAGCGCTTTACCAGATATATTACCAAGCTCGGTAAAGCACCCAATAATAACAAAACCGACAGAAATAATAATGTTTTAGATAATTTTTTACCTGTTATGTTAAAAAAATAATAACAAAACCAATAACGTCTTTCATTAACCATATATTAAGACTGTCGTACGGTATATCTTCCCCGTTGTTGGTACGTTTTCACCACAAAATATATTTAACTTATACTCCATTATCACCCTAAAATAAGACATTTTAATTAAAATTAGGACTCAAACTTAAGACTTATCCTCAATAAAAATTAGTGTTCAACCATTAAGCTAGTATATGAAATTGGTCATAAATCATAAATTTTATATTATTTTATATAGTTGTTTAATTAAATATTAAATTATTTAAAAATACAAAACATTTTTCAGTATAAACTATATAAAATATTTAGTATAAACAATATTAAATCATTAAAATAAAAATTATTTTTTAACTTCATAAATCCTTTATTAATTTAATATTAATTAAATAAACATAAATTTTAAATTATTTATGATAAAAATAATATTTTTTTATTCCGAAACAAAGTTAAAATAAATATTTTTAATTAATTAATTAATTTGGTTTATAATGAAAAATGTTTTATATTTTTAAATATTTTAGCCTTTAATTAAATTAAATATAAAATTTATGATATATGTCCAATTTCATGTACTAGCTTAATGGTTGAACACTAATTATTTTTAAGGAAGAAGCCTTAAGTTCGAGTCATAGTATTAATTAAAAATATCTTGTTTTGTGGTGGTAATGATGTATAAGTTAAATATATTTTGTGGTGAAAGTATATCAACAACATTGCTTAGCCCAGTGGCCAAGCCTTCACCCTTGAATCAGGAGGGTTTGTTGTGTCGATTTTATTTCAATTGTGTCACCATCTTATTGGTCGAATTAAAATAATTAAAAATAAAATTTGATTATTGATGTGGAAGATTAAAAAATATTAAAAACTTCCACAATATGCCACATCAGCTCCGCCGTTAAGTTTTTAACGGTGGGTACTAAAATAAAGCAAAAACTAAACGTTTTGTATGGTTTTGTAAAAATTGAAAGTTCAAGCACTAAAATGTATCAAAGGTTAAACTTTAGGTACTAAACGCGTAATTTACCCTTTTAAAAATATATATTTTAAAAAAATAAGAATATTATTAATTTTTTTAAAAAAAAATCTATCTTTCTGAAATTATCAAAGAAAAAACTTAAAACCTTAAAATCTTTCATTTCAGTCCCATTATCAATCGGCATCCGTTATCACCAGCCGTTTTCGTCTTAGTTGAACGGTCTTCTATCTATCTTCGAGGTTTTAACGTCAATCATCCCTCCTACCGTCATCCGAAATCTCTTAAACTCGTAAATTTTAAAACTTAAATCTCTAAAACTAATACCCTAACCCTAATCCCAAATACCCATAGTTGGTCGTGTCTTTCACTTCAATAAGATTCTGATGTAGCTAAAGTGTGAAATTAATGCTGAAATTTCAAATTTGAAGGTAATGATTTGTTTTCCAACGGTGATTTGCTCCTTTCCGGTAAACGGGTGGCGCATAGGTTTGAAAAATTCATCGAGCGAATTGGCTAGACGTATACTGCTGCAGCGGCGTTGGTTGGGTTTCAGCCGGTGGATCTTCAGGCGGTTGTTTTCTATCAGAATTTCGACCGGTGGACAACGTTGACGGCAACCAATATTAGTGGTGACCGACATGGTTGATATTATAACTTTGGAGTTAAAAATTTTAGGATTTTGAGATTTATTTCGTGATTTTAGATAAATTTAAGATTTATTTTAAATATATAGTTATATTTTTATTTTTTAAAAATAAAATATTTAAAAAATTATAAAAATAATATATATTATATAACTATCGAATTTAATGATTATTACTATATAAACACTTAAAATTCTAATAGGAAAACATTAAACCCTCCATTCTTATATTAAGCCTATATTAAACCATAACGTGGGAAAGCAGAAGCGGTGAGCTTTTCGAGGGAAGAATGACTTTTAGGATAAATTAATTTTTAATCCTTAAATTTAAGAATGATTTTAGTTTATTTTCTGAAACTTTAGTTTACTAATATCTAAATTTAATATTTCTAAAATTTTTAATGATATTATACTGTAATCATATACCACATGGCATATATTCAAAATGCAGTCTCATTAATAAGACCAAAATTTATTTAAATTTATGAAAAATGTTATATAAATCTTTTCTACCACGATATTTATAATTTGATAGTAATAAAAAATAATATAATAAAAAAGGTCCATAAAATATTTTCTCAAAAAAATATAGAAGTTTAGGACTAACGGGTTTTGATAAAAAAAGTTGAAGGATTGAATAGAAACAAATATGTTGTTTAATGGCTAAAATGTATTTAACCCACGTGTTTTCCACTTGTATATTTTGGGGGGAATCATAGTGAAAACTGTTTATCATGCAGAGCCTGAGGTCTCCAAGTCACCCCCCTACGTGTCTCCACATTGGAAAGCTCCCCACCTTTATAAGATCCCACATCGATCCCATCCTTCAATCAGACACACATTGTTTCTTCTTTCATTTGCCACTTGAACAACTCTTAACCAGTTTTCATCAATGGCAGACCGTGACCGCTCTCTCCACGCCCAAGTTCACCCACAGCACCAGTACGACCACGTTGTTCGTGGCGGTACGGGGAAGAGCGAAGCCGGGACCTGGACTGGCAAAAACTATCAATCCGGCGGACCCTCAACATCCCAAGTTCTAGCCGTCCTCGCCCTCCTCCCTATCGGCGGAAGTCTCCTCGCGTTAGCCGGTTTAACTCTAACCGGAACCGTCATCGGCCTAACCGTGGCGACACCTCTGTTCGTCATATTCAGCCCGGTCCTGGTCCCTGCCGCCATTGCCGTTACAATTGTGGTGGTCGGTTTCATGTCGTCGGGTGCGTTTGGGGTGACGGGGCTGTCGTCGCTGTCGTACGTGTTCAACCGCTTGAGACGGGTGTATAGCTCCGATGAGCGCGACACGGAGCGGGCGAAGAGGGGCATGCATGAAATGGTGGGGTATGCAGGGCAGAAGACAAAGGAAGCTGGGCAGAAGACGAAGGAAGCCGGGCAGAAAATGGAGAACAAGAGTCATGAACAGGGTCAGGGTGTTAGGACTTGATGAGTGCTGTTTTTCATTTCCAAGCCTTGCAGTAGGTGTGTGAGACCGAGACAATGGGTAATAATATATGTTCTATAATGTCGTATTTGTTGCTATGTAACCTTCAAATAAATCCATCATAAATATAAAATATCGATGGTTCAAAATGATGTTTTAAAAAATATTGGTTGTTGCCTCTTTTATTTATTAAAAAATAATAACTATAGTTTAGATGATTTAGTTCGTGTATTGTATTGCTTGGTTTGCACACACTTGAAGAAAATTTGGATTTCTTTTCTAAAGATGATTTTATTAAGTCGGCCTTTTAAAATTAGTGATTAAAAATAAACATGTTCGACTTGTTTGGGACTTGATCATATGCAGAAAATGATTTAGCATCTTACAACGTTAAAATTTGGTGTCTAATCCATTATGTGCAAATTTTATATGGTTCGTGAACGGATTCAAAATTTTTATGTTGAGGTAAAGTTTTAATTTCTATATTGAATATAAAGTTTATGCTGGGGTAAATTTTTAAAATGTTAGGTGGAGATAAAATTTTAAAATATATATTAATTCAAAATAATATATATGAGTAATTACTCTCAATGTTTCTTTGGTTTATCTCTCAATGTCATTTGTTTTATCTCTGATTAGTGTTTTTGAAATTTTAAAAAGTTTAAATTATTATATAATTTTTTGAATAGAAGCCGCTAGTATTATTAAAATAAAATACAAATATCCGAAATTACAATAAGATTTTATAATTATCATCATAAACTAAATACATAATTACAATAAGATTTTATAATTATCATCCTAAACTAAATACATAATTTGGAATTTTCATATAACATTGAAACTAACCACTTTAGATCATATAAGGATCATACATGAAAAAAGTTAAAAACCCAACCAAGAGGCTTGAATAAAAATAAATACAGATAAATTTAATTGTATTGTCAAATGAATTACAAAAAAGAATTAAGCTTGTCATAACGTTCTTTTTATTTTAAAATGTTTTTATGCTTTTTAAAGAAAAAGGTTCATTTATGACTCATTCCTGAAAATTTGGATTTTGTATTTAATTTGATTAAGTTGTTTTGGAGTCACCATTGGTATTTGGGTAAGGTAGGTCAAATACCTAAAAAAAATATCTTTTAAAATAATTTTAAGAAAAAAAATCATTTAAAAGAAAATTTTTTTTGTCTACTTTCACTAGAAATTCAGTTTTGAGGATTCGAAAGTCGGTTATGCGTGGGGAAGAAAAGTCCCCACCACAACGCCCAAAATTGGTACCTAATCGCTTATATATTGTCGTAAAAGTAAAACTATGACTACGAATATAAAATTAGAACACGATCTATTTGTTGAAGTTGAATTTATTTGATTCAAATTAATTATCAGGTAAAATTCTTTTAATTTGAAAAGAAATCATAGCATTCGAACATCCTTCAATGGGAAGACTATCTCATCTATTTCCCGTCTATAAAAGAATATCCTCTCCTCTATATAAGATCATTAATTTAATAAAAATTTAATAATAGTAATTACGTAAAATAATTTACTATTTTAAAAATATATATGTCACTTTGAATCACACCACTTCTATAAAGTAGTGTTTTTCATGCCCATTCTACGATCAATGTTCTCGAAAATGTTTGAGTAAACTACTAAAAATATAAATATCAAATATAAGAGATACACAAAAGGTTGATAAAAGAATAATCAATAAATCAAAACAAAATAAATAAGATAGAACAAAAACATAAAGAAGAATAGTATATAAACATACAAAGTTAAAAAGTATTAAATATATATAATATGACATAGTCTAATGTATACAGTAATAATAAGACATTTAGTATTATTCACATTATAAAAATGAAAAGGTACAAAACAAAATTAAGCAATTAATTAATTTATTTTTAAAAAGAATAATAAGAATTAAAATAAAAGAAATAAAAGAAAGACTAAATCACAAAAAAAAACAAAATAATAAAACCTAATTATGTGGAAAATCATGTAACTTCGTATTCAAAAACAAAAGCAATGACTAAAATGAACAAAAAAAATGATCCTAAATCATGAATGAAACATACATTTTAATACAGGGAGCACAAAGGACAAGAATGAACTGAAGCATAAATTATCAGCTAAAATCAGAGATTAAGCCATTTCACATGTCAAAAGCAAATATGGACTAAAATGTATTAAATCAAGAATTAAAAAGCATAACAAGCAATTATCCTTAAAAATAGACACAAATAATGAACAATACATAAAAAATGCCAAAATCAAAAGACTTATCTTCATTCAATGACCAAATTACAAAGTTACGAATCCAAAAGGACTCGGCGAGATATTAACTCAGACGCTGAAAATATTCTCTAACCCCCTTTTAAAACGACATCATTTGACGCCTAAAATATATACCAAAACACACACCCAAAATTACCCTAAATCTTCCATTGGTCTCATTTTTAGACTAGCCTAAAATGAGAGCTCCAAAGCTCTCCAATTTCTCTCTTGATTTATCATTCTTTCTCACCGTGAGAAAGAAAATCAAAACCCCGACTACCGTGATTCAACGACGACAGTGGGGGAAATGAAACCAAACCTCTTTTCCTTTCACCCTATCTCTCTAAGATCCCAAAACATCATATTTCAAACCCTAACATCCTAAAAAATAAACAACTTCCTTATTAGAAAACCCCAAAATCATATCAAAAGGTAAGACCATTACCTTCGGTGATAGAGGCCTTGGTCCGGTGAGGCAATGATCGATATTCCCTTGTTTTCGATAATGTTTTTTTCTTTTTACTCTCGTTTTTTCTTTGCTCTGGATTTTTTAATATCTAAAAAAAAGTCCCCTTTTTTCTTAGTTGTCCGTTTGTTTAGATGCTGCTAATCTCTCACTTTTGTTTCCTTTTACGTGCACAAAATAATTACTTCTGACTCTCATATGATGAGGGAGCCATTCCCTACTGTGACAGAGCAAGGGAGGCTTCTCCTCTGTCTTGACAGTGGAAGAGGACAAACATGAAGTATAGCATGTTGTCTTGGACTGTAACATCCCAAAAATTGGGTTAGGGACCAAAGTGTAAAATTTTAAAGCTTTGTGACTAATTTTGAAAAATTTAAAAGTTTAAGACTTAATTGTAATATATTTGTGTAGGACTGAATAACAAAGAATGAAAGATGGAAGGGCATAATGGTCATTTGATAAGTAAATGAATTAAAAATTTATTTTGGTGTTATATATGTATCCACGTAGTAAAGAAAGGGTAAAGAAAAATATGGAGACTTTGGTTCCACTATCTTCTTCTCTTCCTGTGACTCCATTGGTAAAGTGAGTGGGTCTCAAGTTAATGTTTTCTGTCATTTTTAAGTTGGTTTTGATTATTGAAGTGTTAGTAAAGCTTAAGGAAGTTTAAAGAGAAGTAAAAACTAAAGGATTTACAACTTATGAGAGATTGAATATAAGGGGTTTTTAAGTGAATTGTTGAGAAAGAGTTAGTAATTAGATTTTAAAGTCATATTTGACTTGTCATCGGTCAGAATAAGAGGTTTAAGAGGATAGAAAGGATTAATAACAAAGTTGAATATTTGATAAGATTTTGAGTTTTAAGTGTTATTGTGAGATATTGAATGTTATGATGTGTTAAAGTGATATAAGTTGATTTGGGTGAGTATAGTTGAGTTTGAAATACTGAAAAGAGTTAAAAGTATGGAGTTTATAAGTTGTAGTAAATTTTTGGGTTAAAATGAGTATGTTCTTGGCAAGGGGTATCGGTACTAGATGAATAATACTGATACTTCAAAGTAAAAATAGGTGATATTTGGGTTTGGGTATTGATACCGTAAGAACATTATCGATACCATATGGTGAAATTGTACGAATCAGTAGTATATTATCGATACTAAAGGAGTAGCATCGATACCAATGGTATCGATACTAGAGTAAAGGTATCGGTACCATTCAAAGATGGAATTCCAGAATCTAGAAGGGTATCGATACTGAAGTAAAGTATCGATACCATAGTAAGGGAGTATCGGTACTGTACCTGGGGTACCGTTACTAATCAGAATCAAATTGTGAAATAAATGCTACATTTAACTTATATTATTAAGGATTTATTATAGTGATTCAAATTACGATATTTATACCAATCATATTACTGTGTAGATATCGAACAAGGGCAAGTTTCAGACGATTCGAAACTAAAGGAGTGCTCAAGAGTTATAAGAATTTGCTTTGAATAAGTGAGGCCAAGGTGAGTGCATGCTACTAGGAAATATGATCATATGGAAAGAAGACTTGCGATGAGTCTATTTACAATGTTTCATTGCATGATTTCATGGATACAAGTATATTATTGATATGGTTTCTATGTGTACATGAGTACATGCATATGTTTATATGTTATATACACTGTTATACATGAGCTATGTGTTATATGTTATCATATGTGTTATATGATCTATGTGAATATATGAGAACAAGATATAAGCTATGTGACCTTGATCTACGTGAATATATGTCTATGTGATAACTTATGTGAATTGGTATAATTGAGATAACCCAAAAGTATATGATATGAGAGCTAAAGGTATAATTGACATGCCAAGAGTCGAGGGTTCTACGCAATCCTTCGAGACAATTCTACGTGGTCCTTTGGGACATTTTTACGTGGTATTTTTGGACAATACTATGTGGTCCTTCGGGATATTTCTATGTGGCACTTCGGTGCAATTTCTACTCTGCACTTCGATGCAATTTTTACGAGTTGTAGTGACAACATTTGTACATAACCTCAATCCACTCACATACCTTGAATTCTCAGTAATGTACCAATGGCTATTAAAAAGAAATAACATGAATGATCAATGCATGATATTATATATTCTTGTTGGTTAAATGCATGATGATATATGTTCTGGTTGATTAAATATATGATGTATTTTGTACATTAGGAAAGTATGTGATTAAATGTTTCAATATTTCATTTATGCATTATATGCCTCACTATGTCACATGTAGGTACAAAGAAGCATGAAGAACAGAGTTAG